ATAAATAAAATAATGTTAGCTAATATACACTAAATATTTATTACATGCCAAACACTGTTCTGTGTTATATGTTTTCTCTCATCACATTATCACATTATCACTTTATTTAGCTCATTGCATTATTTCTTAGCATCACATTATCTATGAACTAGGTGAAGTTAGTACAATTACAATTCCCATTTCATTGGGAGACAGGCAAATTGAGATGAAGTTAGGTTAATTAATTTGTCTAATGTCACATAACAAGAAATATTGAAAATAGAATTCAAAGACAGGCAAAGAGCCTATTTTTTAATAATACTACTCCAATGATTTCAGATTTCTGCTTCTGAATAGATATTATATAGCTAACAGAGTATGAGAGTTTTAGCTGAAAATAGTATATAATTCTACAAATATTTGGAGGTCCTATGTTTTATTTTTATTTTTAATAAGTCAGTGTAACATATTCCTTTGCATGCATTACCCATTTGTTACATCTGTGAATAATGTGTTCTCTGTCTCTGGTTTCTCAGAGAAAATAAAATTAAAAATATTTGAAATTAAAAATATTTATCAATAAATATGCTTTCTTAGCAACTGAAAGACTAACCACAATATATTTGTTGATTGTTAATCAGTATTATCAGAATTTTTTTTTCAAAGATGACTGATAGGTTTGGACATTTCATTGACCCTGCATAATATGTTGAGCGTTTCCATCATTTGAGAAACTAACTGAAGAATGTATAGAGCATATCCATTACTTCAGAAACTTTCTGAAATGATGAAAATATAGATTTATATTTGTGCTGTCTAATCTAGTAGCCAAAAAGCAGAATGTAGCTATTAAGCCCTTCAAATGTGGCTGATTGCAACTTAGAAATTGGAGTTTTAATTTTACTTAATTAACTTAAATTTAAACAGACATATTCCATGAATGGCTATTATCTTAGATAGCCACACTATAGTAAGAATATTATGTACACCTAAGATTCATTGTTAATTGTTTAAATCCATGGAGGTAAGAAAATCTATTAAACTATGTTTTTCTTTAGAAATCTCAGCCTCTAAAAGTGATATCACTTTTCATATTTCGTTTTTAAAACTTACTTTTAGTGGTAGTTGGACATAATATCTTTATTTTATTTATTTATTTTTATGTGGTACTGAGGATCAAACCCAAGGCATCGCACGTGCTAGGCGAGCATTCTACCGCTGAGCCATAACCAACCCCACTTTTCAAATTTCTTAAAAGCTATGATTTTATTTTCTAGCTGTGTGGGAAAAAAACAGCACAAAACTTGTGACTATGCCACCCAATTCTATTTTCCTATGTAGTACCTTTCACCAGCTAAGAATATTTGCAAGCATCAGAACCTAACATTTTTCACTATGGAACAAAAATATTTACAAACCTATTGGTTGGAAAAGCCCCAAAGCAATTATGCCCAAATTGACATCATTCTGTGCTAAAAGATTATGATTTAAATTGAAAGGCAAACTGCTTATTCAAATATTTTTAAAGATATTACTAAAACTTTTAATTTGTTATAATATTCTGAAGTAATATAGTTGATAGGTAAACTGGCTGAAAAAGTTTGTGTTCATTTCCTTTAAAGGATCTGATAGAAAACTGGCATGGAAAGTTTGAGTTGCATATTTTTTGCAATGCTTCAAAAGGAGAATTGTCTTGAGGCCTATTCAATCCAAAGCTAATTGTTAAATATTCAGTAATTTGAGAGCCAGTTGTTAAAATATTGGTAACATGAAATCAGCCATGTTAGGAGTAATTTTAGATACTAACCCATTAAGAGGTATAATCTTTACAGGAAATGCAATTCCAATTAGAACTATTTAAATACATCAACAACATTGTTAACATATTTTTGTGAATTTTCACAATTTTTTAAACTCATAAACTCTTGCTAATTTTTACTAGTCTCTAACTGGGTATATAAAAGTTTTGAGATTTTGCTTTGCAGCTGTATTTTAAATTGATTATATTGATTATACAACAAAGAATGTTTCTGATTAGACCATTCTAATATTTCCTAATTTATACTAGATTTGTCAGAAAGCAATAAAATTATATAGCTATGTTATTTCTCTCTAAACATTAAATGCTAAATTTTCTGACCATGCATATGTTGGAAGGATATTTTACCTCTAAATGTTAAATATGATATAGAAGACATGATGATTTCAGTCTAGTTTTTTTGTAAAACAATGAGAAGTATCAATTTAAACATCTGTCTTTATATCAAACTACCAGAATAAAAAATTATACAAATGTAAATACATAAACTATACATTTAATTGACAAGTTTTTATATTCCCCTAGTAATCTTAGGAGATGAATTCTCAACATAGAGATTTTCCCAATGCCTATAGGATTCTAATAGATTTAACTTTGAAACCCTCTTCTTTATGGTGATGCACATGAAAGCAAATTTTGTTGAAACTCAAATAACAGTGTAAAACATATCCTTAAAAGTTGGTATCATATTCCTGGTATCTTCTTGGTAGCTTCTTCAAAGGAAGGTGACATTCTAATATATATATATATATATATATATATATATATTCAATTATTTTTAGTGACATAAAATTTTAATTATGTATGGTCTGTGGCTTATTATTTTTAAATATGATAATGTTAATATTACATAATAGCACTTTTACAAAACAAATATGACAACTTTATTAAAAGCCTTTCTCTATTCACTGAAATTGAATTTTTCTTCAAATAGGATATCACTCTGTTGCCCAGTCTATTTACAAATATTTTCATTTATCTAATCATCCTCCAGTGGAAATCTACTTGAGGTAGATTTATACAGCAATTGTATCCAAGGTCATTTGAATTAATCCTATCTCTTTCAACTTACTTTAATCAAAATATACAAAAGTAAACATTTATCTTCAGCATAAAATGGCTTCTGTGAATTTTGAAGGACTTAAATAAAAGTATGATCTAATATTGAGCTTTTAAAAAGTGCTGAAAATTGTATCTGTGATACTTTAGACTTTATTTTCTAAAACTTTGTATGTGAAATAGGCTAATCACCAATAAACAAAATTATAATGATATTGAATTAATAAGCTAACAACAAAGCAACATTTGGAATAAGGAGAAGGTAATAATCCTTTCCATTTCTATCACCATAATAATTATCATGAAAGACCAACTGAAAGTCATAAATTGCACTCCTTAGTCACTCTTGGCTTCAAATTCTTCACAAAACTATCCAATGTTTCAAGAATTCAATGAAAATTACATTTTTATTGAATAATAAAATTAGAATTTTATTTCAATCTGAAAATTGGTCCTCATGAAAACTAATCAAATGCACCTTTAAAGACTCATGAGCATGTGTCAAAGCATTCTTCCATCATTTAAAAGCAAATATAACAATACCAGTGAAGTATGTTTTTGTTTCTAATTGAATTTCAAAATTTGTATGCAGGTCATGTTTTCTTAATGACCATCTAATTTTAAAATCATGGTAAATATATTCTGTATTTTAAATAATGTCCTATGGGTAATTTTGTTCTCAAAGACAACTCTAATTCTCAGTTTACACTCTGACCAAATATTCAAACAGCTAGTATACATTAACCCGTTAACAGCTATGATCTTTACAATTAGTCATTGAAATACATATGAAGTTTTATAAAAATGACCAATTTTTCTTTTCCTTTCATATAAGGTTATGTTTTAAGCTTTCTTCAGTGTTTTGGAAATGTTCCCAAACCCAAATTAGAAGTGAAATTTAAAATGTGACCAAAATATTCAGAATTTCATATTTCTTCCGCTGTCTCTTCTCTTATCCCCAGGCCTATCTATTACAATCATATCAGTATTGCAGGGCTCAGTGCATATCCATCAGCTGCAGTGTCTTTACCTGCCCCTTCTCTTCTCTAAGGTAGAAATGATCTCTCCCTCCTCTAAATTCCAGTAGTACTTGGTGATTCTCTTATGCTATTTATCATAGTCTGTCTTGTTAGTATACATCGCATGGATTCTTGTATATCTCACATTTAGTTTGTAAGTTTCTGAAAGTTAAAGTATCTGTTATTTATCAGTTTCCCATATTGTCCAATATAATTGTATGTCTATTTCAAGAATGTGTTTGCCAGGTAAAGAAGGGGAAAAGGAACAAACCAATGTGTTGTTATGATTGACCATACTCTTAGATTCCTTTATATCCTTATATCACCATTTTCTTAAGAGAAAGAAAATATTCAAAAGCTTAGTTCATAAATACTTAGAAAGAAAGCATAGAGAACATGTCTAAGAATAATGGAAAATAGAGGAGGAAATAACAAGATATCATTTGAATTTCATTATTAGTGTTACATATGGCCATAAACTTTTGAAAAATTTTATCCTAATGAAAATAATGATAGTGTGACAAATTACCATAAATATTTGTTTAATGTTTCAAAATTTTGACATGTATTTTACTCACATTATCCATAGACAGTCAATGAAATAACTGGGATAGATTATTATTATGATCTTCATTTTACAGTTGAGGAAACACATTCAGACAGGTTATGTGCTATGCCCAAGGTCATTCAGTCAATCAGTGTCAAATCAGAATTGGAACCTGAGTTTCTCTGAATATAAGTCCTATGCCATGGTGTGTCATATCTCATAACTGCCCCTCAAACTCCTAAAAGATGCAGTGTTTACTTTGTTTCACCCTAGCAATGGGAATGATTTTTTCATACTCTTCTACTGTCTGGCCATGCCTCCCACACACTTGTGTACATGACTTCAAGACAGGAAAACGGAACTAAAAAGTAGTGTGGCCATATAATGAAAAGTAACAAACACAAACAATAACAAACCTGGCAGGCCTGATCAGAAACCAAACTCATCAATACTATATGATAATATACAAAGTCAATGAGCTATGTGTTACTACTGAAGATGTAATGGTATTGCTAAGAATTTATTCAAATTTATATGCAATTAAAACCTTTTTCATCTTCTAAATAATCATTCTTACCTTTATAACAGAGGCACCAGCTCTGGAGAGTGGACTGTGAATCTGGGCTGCAGCAGCCATGTTGGCAATAGTATTGAGATGGTTCATCTGATTCATTGCCATGGCAACTGATGCAGGAGGTAAGCTGACTGGAAGTAGAGGATGAGGCATCATCATAAATGGCAAATCCAGTCCTAAAAGAGACAGTGCATGTTAAACTTGTTACATCATGTTGCTATGAAATTCTTTTTTAAAAAGTATACAAATTCATATTTCTTGGTTTATTTTTTAAAATCAAGATTTATTGTATACTAGTATCTTTTGGGGCCATTAATAGTACCTATGAGATTTTATATCATTTTAAAATTTTTAATATTTTTATATTTACTGACCTTATAAATAGATCTTGTCTTCATTTTTACTCACAAAATATTTATAAGATGCAATATATTTTACCCATAAGAACAAACAAAAATACTTAAGCCAATATCATTGCATTTAACAAGTGAGATGTAACATTCTTTGTAATCAGAATGTATTGATATTCTCATAATTTCTAGTATTTAATTTTAAGAGACTTAATATAGATACCAGTAAAACAGGATATAATCTAAGTTTCAGAATCATTAACAAGACAAGAATCTATAGGAAATATTTTCAGAGTCTCCCTAAACCTCATTCTCAAAAGAATAGTTGTAGCAATACAGACACTTCAAAACACATATTTTCTAGGAAAACATTTTTTTTCACACTCTGTAGCTTATCAGTCTCTTAGCAGTGGGTTCATCAGAGTGGTTTTTATTTAAATGAAATCTAATTTCAGTGGAGGCTAGAAGGATGAAGTGGAGACAATTTTTCTGAGGTCCATGTCCTGATTTCAACTATGATAGTTGATTAAAGCTAATAACAAGAAAGTGCAAAGGGAGCACCTCAGGTTTCATACAACACTAAAGTGATCACCTCAACTAAAGGAATTCCTACATAAAGAACTCATCAGTCACAGATATTTCTGATAAAGATAGCCACAAAACAAAGTGTCATCAGATTTATGCCAGGGCAAAAGAAGCCTTGAAATTTAAATTCTACATGGAATACTAGAAAAGTAACATTCTCTGTAATGTCTATGACTTCATATCCAAGAGAATATAAAAAAATAATTCCCTGCACATTTTCACTTATGGCTCACTCCTCTTTAAATTCTTTTTAGGAGCAATCTACCAAAACAAATGTATCAGTTATGAAATATTTTCTTCAGATTATTAAGTTATTAGAGAGGCCTCAACACAAGGATCACAAAATTGAATTCAAAATGGTTTTCCCCACAGTCTTATCTTTATTTTTATTTATTTTAATTTTTTTCCCTCAGGAAAGGCCTAAAAATGTCTTCATTCAAGTTGGTGATTTTTGCCTAATCTGTTCCTTTATCCCCAACATTCTTTTTTAACTTTGATTGCAAATGTACAGATCATAATTATATGTATTTATAAGTACAAAATGGTGTTATTATACATATAATGTGAAATTATATATCATTTCACATGTGTGTATGTGTATGTAAAATGCGAAATGATTAACTACATACAACCAATTAACATATTTATCCTTTCAACTACTTACCATGCTGGAAAACATCATGATAAATGAAATACACCAGGTATAGAAAGACAAGTACCAAATGATCTTACTTATATGTGGAAACCATCTTCTTAAACAAGATGTTTGTTTTCAGTTAGCGCTAGAGAATCACTTAGATGAATATACATTTTATACTTTATTCATTGTGTTGTTTATACTCTAATGATGGGATATTTTAAACATATTTAATTAACCACTGCGTATCTTTCCCCTAAAACCGTCACATTATGATCAAATAACAATCATCAAAGACCTAAATCTGGTGTCTATATAAGGCCTTCATTTACCACAAACCCAAGATAGTTTTAAATTTCAATTCTTCTTTATGTACATAGTATTTAAGTCAAAAAATGATCAAAGCATAGATAAAAAGTAGCTGTTAGTACCTCCCTTATGTTTCAAATGCTTAATAAATCTGTGTTCAATAATACTTCCTTAAACAGTGTAATAATCTTTCCTTATTCTCAAAGATTTTCTGTATCACCCAGACACCATCTGGCCAAATCATGAAATATGCCTACTTAAAGTCCATTTGACATGCAAACTAAATGTAAGCTCTAAACAGAATTAACAGGCATTGACAGTTTTAAAATGTAATTCATCAAACATTTCAAATAACCATGAAGGACTTAAAAGTCACACTTTGAGATCATGATCTGCAATAACTAACCATCAATTGGCTATAATGCCTTAGACTCAAAGTTAATATTTACAGTACAGCCCAGTTTAACAGTGACCCTACATGAGTTCCACATGCAAAGCATATGCAAATACTGAATTATGTAAGTCAATCTTTTCCCAAAGCTGAAAACGTTGGGTTAAAAGCCATCAATAGTACACAACACTCCAGCAATCTGGCTCACTTACGCACATGCCAGATATGTATACAGACTTTTAATATTATGGTAATGAAGACAAATTCTTTTGGAAAAAAATGACCAAAATGGGTAATCTCATTCCTTGTGCCTTCGAGAAAATCGTGCAAACATTATTTCTAATATACCTTGGTATTCCAGCAACTCCTGTAATTTTTATGTAAGAGCATGGCATGACTTTATTTTAGCCATGAAGTATACAAATCAGTAATTCTCTATTTCTCCATCTAGATTCTACATTGATTTGTTTTCCAAGTCATGTTGTCTTCTTCAATTTCTTGCCATTTGTACAGTGATTATCAAGCACCAATCCCCTCAGTATCAGTGTACTGTCTTCCTGATTATTCTTCTACTTCAGTTTTAAGACTTCAAGTGAATACTTACTTCCTCTACAATAAATTTTTGCTGAAATTTCCTTATATAGTACCTCCGCTGTACCAGCACACATAGTTATCCAACTTATCAATATTTTACATTAGTGTGGTATATGGTTACAATTATCAAATACAGATACATTATTAACTATTATAGTTATATTAGAATTTACTTTGTTTTATACACACCTATAGCATTTCATAAATACATAATATGTATCCACCATCTGAGTATCATATAGAACAGTTCCAATGTTGAATACCCTCTGTACTGTAATTGTTCATCACCTCCCTAACCTCTGGCAGCTACTAATGTTTTTGCTATCTTTATAAATTTGCTTTTTCCCCAGTCTTATGGATGAAATCATACTTTTCAGACTGGCTTTTTCCTCTTAGTCATATGCACTGAATTCAAGACTTTAAGGTTTCATTAATTACCTGTTCTATTGCTAAATATACTTCCATGGCACCTATGCACCGTAGTTGATTTTTTAAATTCACCTACTAGAGGAAATATTGGTTACTTCTAAGTTATAGAAATTGTGAATAAAATTGATATAAACTTTAATGTGTAGATGTGTAGGATTTTTTGTTTGCTTGCTTTTGCAGTGCTAGGAGTTGAACATCAGGCCTCACACATGCTTCACCACTGAGGTATAACCCCAGCCTGATGCAATTTTTAATGCTTTTATTAGGGCATCAAAATTATACATAATATTGTGGTTTACTGGGACATATTAATGTATTCACAAAACATAATCTATTCCAGTTTTTTATTAATTTGAATATAGAAAGCTATGCTTAGTTTGGTAAGAAATAGCCAAAATATATTCCCACCAGCAATAAATTAAAACTTCCTATTTTTCCACATCCTTGCCAGAAATTTAAATTCCCAGAGATTTGGATGTTAGCTCTTCCAGTAGGTATGTGTTAGGGTTTAGATCTGAGGTGTCCCCCAAGAGCTAATATGTGAGATAATGAAAGAATTTTCAGAGGTAAAATGATCAGATTTGAGAGGTGTGACATGGTCAGAGTATTAAACCACAGATATGCATTAATGGGGTGGTAACTAAATGCAGGTATGGTGTGGTTGGAAGAGGTAGATCACTGGTGGTGTGCCTTTTGGGTTTATATTTTGTCTCTTGTGAGCAGAGCTTGCTTTCTGCTGGCTGGTGGCTATGCCATGAACTGCTTTCCTTCACCATGGCTTTCCACCATGATGTTCTGTATCACCTCAGGCCTTGAGCTGTGGAGTTGGACATATATGGATCTAGACCTCTCTGAAACTGTGAGCCCAAATAAACTTTTATTCTCTGATTGTTCTCATCAAGTTTTTTTTTTTTTTTTGGTCAGAGAAATGAAAAACACTAAATCAATAGGAATATCTTGTTTTTCCATTTGCAATTCCCTAGTAATATGATGTTGAATATGTTTTCTTATGCTTATTTGCCATCTGAACATATTCTTTGATGATGTGTGTTGAATATGTTTTCTTATGCTTATTTGCCATCTGAACATATTCTTTGATGATGTGTCTGTTCAGTCTTTTGCCCATTTTTAAATTGGGTTGTTTATTCCTCATCATTATTATTCAAATAATTCTTTATCTTATATTTGTTTTGCAAAGGTTTATCCCCCATGGCTTGTGTTTGCATTCTCTTATTAGTGTGTTCCTTAAAGCAGGTTTGAATTTTAATGAACATATTAATTTAATTCAACATATTAATTATTTTTTAAGTGTCATGCCTTTGTTATTATATCAAAAAACACATTGCTGCACCCCAAATCACTTAGATGTTCTATGATGTTATCTTCTGGTAGTTTTAGAGTTTTTCAGTTTATGTTTGACTAATAATACATTTAAGTTAATTTCTGTGAAGGGAATAGGGTCTGTGTCAAGGTTCATTTTTTGCATATTAATTTCCTGGTGTTCCAGAATGATTTATTAAAAAGATTATGATCTTTCTATTATATTGTATTTGCTATTTCATCAAATATTGATTATACTTGTGTGGTTCTATTTATAGGTTCTCTAATCTGTTCTATTGAAGTATTTGTCTAATACATAATGACGTATAGAATTATCAGTCTACTGACTTTGTTTTTCTTCAATATTGTGTTGGATATTTTAGGTCTCTGCTTTCCATACAGATGTTAAAATCAATTTGATAATATTCACAAAATAATTTCCTTAGGTTTTGATTGCAATTTTAATGAATATATTGATCAGTTTGGAAAGAATTAATATCTTAATGACATTGACTCTTTGTATGCATGAATAGAGAATACCTCCCCATTCATGTATTTTTT